GTGCCACTTGCTCCATCAAGTACCTCTTGCGGCTGGTGCTGCAGGGTACCCCCAGTTATTCGCTTAGATTCGGAGGTAGCAGCATCTGTCTTCTGGGTAAGTTGCGCAGCACGCAAGTCAATCTCAGTTGCAGGGATATTGCCAGGCTTGCGGACAACATCATTGACACAAAGAGTTTGGGTGTAGGAGTTGAAGCCCATGCCTAAGCGCATGGCGCCATTATACGGTGCCAACATGAGAGCCATGATGATATAGAGAGGGATGGATTGGAAGATTTCAGAAGGACCAAGCAAGGTGAGTATGGAGAATGATAAACCAAATGAGGATAGAGATACTAGGGGTTTTTGAGACGCACCCAAGTAACCAGATGACAGTGACAGGATGAGTAGAAGCTTCATACATTGGATGTGACAGTCCACGACCTTCCGTTGTGTATGCATGGCTTATACTGTCTAAGACTTGGTGTTTGGATAAGTATGGAATGGGTAATGTCTGTGGCGCAGGTTCACTAATCTAACTCTTTCCTCTGTAGCAACAAAATGATATTTTTCTTCTTTGACACAAACCCCTCTGGCGTATATTTACAAAGCTGAAATAGCAGAGACGGGCTAGGGAGGCGATCGATCACCACAACCCTGGTGATCTCTAGCAGCCACGGCGCCGGAGTGGTGGACGCCCTCTTCCTGGGTTGTCGCACATCCGGAGATACCATGAGCACGGATACTAACATTAGCCTTAAAAAAGAAATAGCGCAGGGTGTAGCCAGTTTATCCTTTTAAAGAGCTCCTCTTTACAGGTATGTTGAATTTAGGCTACGAGCAGCGATACCAGAAGAGGAGACAATGGACCTTGTAGATGCCTTCCCGGAAGATCCTTTTCATCCTACAATCGAATATATCGCTATCAATCAAACCCCATTCTCAGTACCATGGGGTAAAAAAACAGTACGACTAGGCAAAGGCTTTAACAGTCGGCGGGGAGAGCAAGATGAGCTTTTTACGAAATCCTTGGCATTCAAAGATGTGGACAATACACCTCTCCAATATCGAAAATGTCAGATCACGGCAATAAGGGACGAGTCAGGCTCAAGCATCGCCTACGCATCTGAGAACGCGAGCTTCGCCGTCAGCGGATCAGTAGGCAAAGGGTTTTTCTCTGCTTCTGTTACAGGAAGCCTTGAGAAAAGCGTGCACAATAATAGAAACGTTGTTTATATCATCTTGAGAATAACAATGAAGATGGCTAATTCTTTCTTGACAGGATTCAAATATTAGCGTTCATGCGGACCATATATGTGGTCAGATCGAAATGCTCCGCGTTCCTCAACTGGAGACAGATGCAGTTAGACTTTTGAACACATCTTCTGACCCGATCATCGAGTTTCAAAACGTATATGGCGACTTTTACGTAGCAGGATATCGCCTGGGTGCAGTGAACGACACCATGATCTCTGGGAAACTCGCCAACAAGACATTCTTCGATGCTAAACGTGCAGTGGCCGAAGGCAAGGTGGCTTGGGCCAAAGTCCACAAGTCTATCAACGAAATATCAGCATCGGATAGCAACGAGGGTTTGATCAGGGTTGATGCGTTCGACTCGCTCATGGACTTTCACTCCACCTTCTCGGTACAAACGGACGACGACATAGTTCGTATGGGTGACGTGGCTGCTAAGAATAAGCAGCGAGCAATGACGATTGCAGCCAGGGCTACTGAGACATTATGGAAGGATTTCTCGCTGGGCTACGAGGATGCAGTGTATCAGGATGTGGTTGATCGCCTCTGTGATAGAGGGCTTGTCACGGAATTGTTACTGGCTCCTTTTGCGACGCTCCGAGAGTATCAATATCTCCTTGCTCGTAGAAGAATCACTATGCGTTAGTGGTACCATACATACTAACTTTCATTACTTTGAATGGGAAAATAGAAAGAAAAGCAATTCTACCGTTTCCGTTTCCTTGGTGATTACATGCCTAATGCGGATAAGACGAACTAGTGCACTACAATAACGGATTCAACGACATGGTGCCACCATCAACAATAGGCCGTTACCCATCAAAGCGCAATCACATGCATCGGACCATCTGACCTGATGTAATTTAAGTACTACTCGTTTATTGGACCGTATTGTAGTTACTACTGGGGTGTCTCTTGACTGGAATTGTGCAATTAACTGTCCATAGTCCTGATGCGTATATGTCGTGATGCGGTATTGCTCAACTTTGCTGAAATGCTGACAAACTAGAAGACGCGGAGCTGAAGTTCGGAGTCCATGGCTATGAAATCTTGAGCACCTCATGTCTTAGCTAGGGACCCAAGGTCATCTAGTCAGGTGCGGGCCAACCCGCCATCATTCCAGATATTCGGCGTTGTTTTATCCCTTTAGAAAGCCATGCCGCTCTTAGTAAGGAATTTAGTAAGGAACTAGCTGTCGATCAAGGTTAACTAGCGCAGCATGAAAGTCAAATTCCGTTCAGCCGCAACGACACCACTCGCATCTTGGAATTAACCTATGCCCTCCTCAGGAATTGAAGCTGATTATTGGTTATTGATACAACTGTTTAATTACATGTCCCAACCAAGAAAGCCAGTCAGCCGCCTTTTGGTAGTCGTGGAAATAATGCTGACACAGACGGTGGTCAGGATGCAAGGCTCTCCAAGGCCTAGCTCGCCCTTTGTGGCGTCTCCAAAAGTTCAGTTCTCATTGGAACATATTTTGCAAGAAGCTACAATTATAATTTCTTATCTTAGAGACCTTCCGCAAATCCTCACGATATATCCTAAAATCTGTTACCTGCTGACGAATATTTTCTTGATTTGAACCACATCGCATCTCTTTGACGTTTTCGCGATATCCTTGACATCAACTCACACAATGGCTACTCAACTTGTTCCTTATAATACGGCCATGAAGCTGGGCTCTGGCTTCAATTCATTCACCCAGACCCTCTGCGTTGATAATGCGGTTGTGCGCGAACCGAACAACAATGGTTCTGAAGAAGTCAGGCAAAGGCAGTCAGAGGAGGAAGTTCCCCAGTCTGTCATTTACAAGACCAGCATCATCGAAAAATCGACTGATGTTACAGACGAGATGAATGTGAGAATATGTCATAATATCATAATATCATAGCCTTTTCAAAACTGACCATGACATAGATAAATGGTGCCTTCAACATCAAATACGACCAGTTGACCGCTGATGGCAGCGGCAAATTTATCAATACGAACAAAATCAAAGAGAGCGATGTCAACATTATGGTCTCTGTCAAGGTCGTCAACCAGATCATTTATGATCACTCTCTCACCAAGTTCAATAGCATCACCAAGTTCAAGGACGACCCCCAGAAGCGCCTGGTAGATGTTTATGGAGATTCCTTTATTTCTGGCTGGCAAGAGGGAGGTGAGTTCCTGGCTGTCATCAGTATCAAGGCCAAGAACCGAGATGAGGCGCACAACATTGCTGCCGAGTAAGTTTGTCTTGCAAGACTTGTTCTGAAGCAATACGTCTTAACAAGCCCTCCAGTGCTAGAATCGCCTACACACGCAACAAGAGCCCGGCTCCAGAGAGTGACAAGAAAGAGTTCATGCTCGATATCAATGCCAAGTTCGACAAGATTAAGAATGACATTGCCGCTGAGAACGAAGTGTCTGTTTCTGTTATGTGGAGTGGTGGTGGTCAACATCTGAAGGAACGTAAGTCCAGCCTTTTCAATCTTTAGGTCATCATGAGCTGATACATTTTGATTGTAATACAGAGAAAAAAGACTGGGACTTTGACACCATGAAGGATGTCGCGCTAATGTTTCCTGATCTTTGTGCCAGGACTCCCATGCGTACTCACGCATTGCTCACCAGATACACGGCTTTACGAAGTTTCCACGAAACCCAGGCTTTTGATCTACCTAGGTATGACAAGACTGGAACATATACAAATGTGCTGCATGAGGCCTACCTCGACTACAAGGCCATTCTCAGTACGATCCAGGTCCTGGCATTTGAGGTCTCTGAGGGCAAAAAAGCGCTGATCGAGAACTTTCGTGTTCAAGAAGCCAGTAAATATTATCTCATCACTTTTGTAGGAGGTTCAATCTGACGTTTGGACAGTTGACGCAGCGAAGGTCATCGCTGATAAATGGCGCGAAGCAGGGAGTGAGAAATCAACCCAGGAGCCTACACCAGGAACTGGGCCTGAATCTACCGAGGGCAGCGAGGTCATGGTCCCTGGCCCTGAGGCCAATCTTGACACGAAGAACGAAAAAGCTCCGCCTCTTCCGAAGCCCAGGACATATCAGTCTCCTGGATTAGACAAGGCGTTCCCACCGACCATCACTGGTCTGGAAGAAGCTCGGCTTAAGTGCCGCTTCAACATGACTCGCATTATAGAGGAGGTGAGAAATTACATACCTTTTTAAGAGCCTCAGAAGCACTTTCTAATACGTGAGATCTACTGCAGATCGACAACATTACCGTCAAACCGGAGATTGCCACAGATGAAACCAGACCATCCCCATATCTCAGTCCTTTTCTCTTTAAGCTTCTTCTTCCACTCAGTGTGGATCTTCCAGCAGAGTCAACTAAGGTTGCGCAGCATGGCAAGGCGTTTCTGTTCAACCCTCAAGTTTGCGCTGAAAAGTTGGGTGTGGCAAAGACAACCAAGGAGAACAATGGTTCGGAATGAAGGCTATGAATGGCATGATAGTATGATATCTCATTATTACTAGCTAATATAATACATATTGTCTTTAACTGTATTATTAAGATGTTTGTTATATCTTATAAAAGTGTCATAATTAGTATTATTGCAGTAAGGCGACTGTGTTAAGGTTTAGATGGTTTAGTATTAACTACTTATATCTGGTTTTCTCTATTTCTCTATTATCTTTATAGAATCATCACCATGCCTTCTCACCACAAACTAACCCGCGTGCGGATGGATAACCGATTTCGATCTTTACTATAACACTGATGCACTTGGTGCAATTATAAAAGCTCAAACGCCCTCTAGGACCCCCAAACATATGAATCTCCACCTGTTACAGTTACCGCATCCGGTATTACAGTATTTGTAGCGACATCAGTCGCCACAACTGTATCATATTCGGTGACGGTAACATAACCAACGTTGGTAACAACGACACTGTTATAAGCAGTCTCAGAGGCAGTATCGTAATCAGTTGTGCGAATAGTGTTGCGATTAGTAACGCCGACAGTGTTGAAGTTGGTGACAACCACGGTTTTGTAGTTTGTCACCGTGACTTTAAGTGGTTTAGTCACCGTGGCACTCTTACGCTGTGTTACCGCTTTGGTTCTGCGGTCTGTTTTTGCCACAGTCCTGAAGTCTGTTGCCGTTCTAGTTACTTGACTGGCGACAGTAGTAACTTTCCTCTTTGTAATATAGCTTGTTGTGTACTTGGTCACCATATGTAGGACAGTTTTGGGTTCCTTGGCACTAACAGTCTGGGTTGTTGCAGCAGCCGGTTTGTTGGTGATGTGGCACGAACAGGCACTGCTAACGACTCGAGGATCCTTGAGCGGCAGGTAAGAAGGCACTTGTTTGACGGGCTCAGCTCGCTTGACGGGCTTGAAAGAATTAGCAGAAGTTGGGGGATTGAGAATATTGACCAGGTTGGACTGAGAGTGAAGGAAGAAACATACCTTGCTTTGGGACGGGCAGCCAAAATCAGAGAATTGATATACACTCCCTGGATCTCAATACGTATTGACAACCCTAGCAATCGTCAGTGACATAAATAGAGCAAACTAGGCAAAGCATTCCAAGAGGAGCTATATATAATGCCAATGTCGGTTTACTTAAGCTGAAGCGCTGTAGCATGTGCATGCACTAGGACCAAAACCAAAGCTCACAGCGTTCTGCTGAACTGAGCAAAACGACTTGCACGAGTCCCAACTGCTGGAAGGGCCTGCGCCACCCGAGGCAACCATATAAGAACCCTGGCCGTAACCAGGGATAGCGCAGTGGTATTCTAGAGAGTGGCAGTCAGTGCTAGGCCATAATCCCTGAGAGCATCTTACCTGTCCCAGCTGGAGTTGTGGGAGCTGCGCCTCTGTTTTATGTTATTGACTACTCTTCTGTAGAATTTGTCTTGGACAAACTTACGTGGCTCTGCAATTATCGTCAGCTTGGCAAACTTGTACGTTAATATCATTGAAATTAGTACTTACGTGACAGTGACGGTAGTTAGGACATTCACGGTGTGTCAACGTCTGTAACATCCATAGTAGAGGTCAAGTCGATTGTCGTCGTGATAGTCTTGGTGACTTGCTCAGTCACTACATCCGTCAATTTCTCTGTACTAGTCCTCGTCACTTGAGTGGTATCTGTATCAGTCGAAACTTCCGTCATGGTGTCTGTGATTGTCTTGGTCGCAAAGTCGGTAACAAGAGCCGTCTTGGTCTCCGTGATCACCGTCGAAATTGTTTTCATCACTTTTGTTCGAACTATGTGATACACATTAATGCGAACTTTCTGCATCTTAAGTAGTATCGCCGTCTTGGTTACCATTTTGGTCATGTGGCCAGTGACTAAGGGGGTAGCTGTCATGGTTTTGGTGCTTTGGAGGTAGGTTGAGCGGAACGCGGATCCGTCTGCTTTGTTGCTCCTCAAAGCCATGATATCTTTATCATCGGGCTGACAGATAGCTGGAGACAGCAATTATTTATTAGCTCAATCTATAAACATTTTTAAAGAAGGCTAACACATACCAGGTGCTCCCTTATCAAAGGTCAAGTCCAGGAGCTGGCCATTGATGTCGTGCTTGGGCCACTGAGCGCTAGTCGGAATAGCGCTTGCTGCACTGATAAAGAGCAGTGCTAGTGCTGCCTTTTGTGCAACATCTTCGATTATAGGTTCTGTCTGGGAGTGGAATTATACTCAGGTTTGACCGGTAATAAAATGCCAGGAAGGAAATATATATTATATAATTTCAAGGTCCAGGCCACGTCTCGTGATTTATCCAACTAATCCCGGCTTTTCAGCACAGGCTCGCTATTTCTAAGCCAGACCTACTACCAGACCCTTAGTCTCTTACAACTTCAAGTATTTAATGCATTGAAATCTCGAGATATTAATAAAAAGACCTAGGCCTTGATTTTCCCAGAGTATAACATGGATTAATGTCACTATTATAAGTACTAGGCAATATGCAGTTTATTTTCTAGTTATACACTGAAATACCTGCGTTATTTTCTACATTTCGGTGAAAGTAAAAACAGCCATTGGGGCATGGATAAAAAACTACAAGCTTTAGGCTATGTCAGCGCTAACTGCACATGCTAACCGTAATGCAAGGAAATCAAACAGCTAGCCGACCGTTCCGATTAACGTAGAAAGCAAGTTCTGGCTACTTAATAAAGCCCCATTTAGACCTTTACAACTTCACTACCTGGACAAGGCGTTAACCAAAACCGTTTAACACGTGGTCACCATGATTCACCAGTTCAAACTCTAACAACCCCGAGAGGCCTTCAATCAAGCACTTGATCTCTAGAACTTCGAAGAGCTCGTTAGGTTGCTCAATGGTAGCCGACGGATGCACCGAAATGAGTTTGCATACCAGTGTGCTGTGACACTAAGCGGTTTGCAATTCTGTCACTGAGCATGACCAAAAGGATCATGGAGACAGTTATGTACTCGATATCAGTGGCATGGTCAAAGGCTCAGTAACCTCTTCTTTTGAGGTATGAAAATCCCGACACAGACATTTATAGATGGCAACCAATACCTGTGCCAGACCGGTGAGGCAGGGCTGGAGTAGCTTGCGTGTCTCTACAAGGGCTACTCTCATCGTTAAGGAGATCTCCTTGCTTTTCTCCCAAGATATCGCTCTTTGAATTAGACTAGTGATTGTTTATTGAGGGAAGTGATTTGGCATATACCGATGTGCAAGACGTGGATCCAGTCTGCAAGTCCAGCGGCTGCAGCAATCTATAGAACCTTACAAAGCTCTGTTCCTCAATTAAAAGCATGGCCTGGAATTTGTTCCTGTCCTATAATCGACGAGGCTTAGACAGCACTAATCTCCTGACGCCTTGTTATAAATTGCGAGAGGTTGTTTGGTTCTAAGACTTTTAGCAGCTAACAAAGGAATCGAAGTAACGACGCGTCTGCCCTTGGTACTACTGCATGTAGTCGAGAACGCTTAACCAGAGTTAGGACCCAGCGCCATAAGACTTTTCCGATGATCCTGTCTCGTATGACTTTTGGTGTCGCTAAACCATGACATCACGTCGGTAATAATTCTCTATCGATCATCGATAGGAAGTATTGTGTTAAGTGGGAGCCTACAGATCCAGATAACAGTTGGGTTTTTCTGGATAAACCATTCAATTCTATATACAGGTCTCCGTCGTATTTGAATTCAATCGCAGCGTTGCTTCAAGACTACCTAATCTCATAGCTGTATGGGGACGATTACTCCCGGCGCTGACAAATTGATAGGGCTGACAAATGACTGTACGGAGCCAAGCTGCCACCAACAACCAGTAAGACACGCTATGTTTCATGACGTACCATCGACACCTGATTGGCTTTGATCTGATGCAATCTATGATTGATAAGATCGATTCGATGTTGATTCCGCGGAACCTGACGATACACGATCCCAAAGCCTTCCACCTTATCGCGGGTCAACATTTGCGTGGTGATTGATAAGATGCTTGATAATGAGCACCTCTGGGTTCTTTAGGTCGCATATATTCATTTAATGTAAGGTAGACAGTCATATAAAACTGCCCAGCGTCTGCTTCTCAATGTTCAATTCACACTCTCATCTCATCTCATTTCTCATCTCACCACACCAAGTTCACAGCGTGACAGCCTTTCTGTAATCAACAGCACTGTACATCAACTCATCTCATACACTAATCCACATCATCAAACATGGCCGCCAAGTCTCCCATCGTTCTCATCCTCGGGTCCGGCCCAAACATTGGCCAATCCGTCGCTCGCAAGTTTGCTTCCGAGGGCTTCAGAGTCGCCATTGCCTCTCGCTCTCAAAAGGAGGCAGACAGCACCGATAAGCAGCTTAACATCAAGACTGATCTGACCAAGCCACTCGAGGTTGCCGATGCCTTCAGTAAGGTGAAGACAACTTTCGGAACTCCAAGCGTTGTCGTCTATAATGGTAAGCTCTCCCTTCATATGATAGTCAAGATAGATCCTAATGCATCAAAGCCAGCGCCGCAGCCTTTCCTCCGGCGGATGACCCCCTGTCTGTCTCTTACACCGACTTCAGCAACAACACTGCCATCAACATTCACAGCGCCTTCATCGCAGCCCAACAGGCAGTCACTGGCTTCGCCCAGCTTCCAGAGTCAGCTGCACGCACCTTCATCTACACCGGCAATATTCTCAACGTCACCATTCTTCCCAAGTTCCTTGATGCAGGCGTTGGCAAGTCTGGCGCAGCTCATATGATGTGGGCTGCTGCGGATGCATACAAGAACAAAGGATACAAGTAAGTCGCCACATCGGGAGTCTGAGATTGTTGACTAATATTCTGTAGATTCTACTATGCTGATGAGCGCAAGCTTGACGGAGCGCCCAAGTACCGTGTGGACGGGAACGCACATGCTGATCTGTACTGGGAGCTATCTCAGGGTAAGGAGCAGGGTCACTGGATGCAGACTTTTGTCAAGGGAGAAGGATACAAGAAGTTTGACACGCTTTACACCCCCGTTGCCTAGGCAACTTCCATGTAGTCAATAGGACACTGCAAATGACAATTGTAACCTAGTTTAGAGCCCTTGATCTCCATTAAATGTTTAGCTCCCGCCCCCTCCAGTGCGAATATTGATCTCGCCAGAATAAATCCAATACCCATTGTTACATCTTGCCCCAGGAGAACTATTAAAATAGTCTCCTGTCCATGGCTTCTGCGGCAGAACATACTCACCACCAAAGAAGCGCCATATCTGCCAGTGGAAGACATTTCCTTCATGACCTTGTGCGCGAACTATCTCGCGTCGCAATTCAACGTACGCAGCGTACGAGACTGAAACGGCGAAAGGTTCTCGCATGCGATCAGAGACGTGACGGATGAAGAATTCGTCAAGAATAACAAAGAGATATTTAAACTGAATTTCTGCATCTTTAGACAGACCAAGCTTCAAGGCTAGGTTGAGTTTCTTGAGGCTAGGGAAGTGATTGTCGAGAATCAGAAGGATTGCGTTTAGGTCCTTTTCGCGTGGGAGATTCTTGCCTACACAGACGTCTGTTTCAACAAACCAGATGATTTCCAGTGATGTTATGGCTGATAATCTTTGTGGGAGGATATATGCTGGAAGGTCGATAAGCAAGGCTGCGCTCGAGATATGTATGGTGTTTGTACTGTACAGGACATCGATGCCCTCAGTATAGCTGACGGATAAATGGTAAGCATGAGCCGATAAAGCTTTGCAATGCAGACTTACGCCTGTCGGCACGTTTGAAGCCATCCCAGAGCGCCGATCCAACACCCATAGAGCTCTTTGCCGTTCTTGGTCCACATGTCGCAGCAGTGTGCGAGCCCCTCGCAACATCTATCCTTATCAACTGCTCTCGTACTATAAGACTCTGTCGCGATAGCCGGGTGCCAAGGCGGAGGCTTGCGATGACATGTGCAGCCTCTCCAGGACCAAGACTTTGGTCGGCTCTTGTCCAGGCCTAACCTCCATTCCTGAATCATCGCGTGTGCTTCCTTGTTGCCTGGCATTGGTGGGTGGCCATAGGTGAGGTCCATGTGAATTGTGCGATCGCCAAATGCCTCAATTAAGATTTGCCTTCGGATCTCAAATGGAAGTATCTGGAAAAACGATGCGGCATGGCATGATTGAGACAAGGCTTCCATTGAAGGCGACGGCGTTAAAATGTGAGGTCGCAGATTTGGAAGGGTCGGAGGCTCCGGAACGCCGTTTTGTTTCTCCCGTTTGGCGACGTACCACGTCATAAAGCGTCGTCTCATAGTTCATAGCGGGCACAAAATGCCATTCATGCTTATGTTGGTTATAGATGAGGAACAGGCAGAGAGCGCACTGAGGCCAAGCTTTATTATTAGTGGTTGGCGGGGTAAGATAGTGCCAAGATGGCCATGCACTGTGCGTATAGCCAGGACGAAAGGGTGACGGCTTGTTACATTTCTTCTGTATTTATTTTACGGCTTTACTACAACCTTTGATTGCTCCCATCTTCCCAAGACTCATACATGCCGTACTAAACCCGACATATGTTTTAGAAGCAAGATACTATAGGCATCCATGTCCTGGCTAAACACTGTGAAAGCTGGAAAACAACCAGAGCGTGGATTGCATGTAAGTATTTTACTCCATGCTTTCCCATGCACATGTCCTAAGGAGTAGAAGAAACAGCTTCTCCAGAACTTAGAATTGTGTTACGGATGACACGAGGGTCGCTTGACGAATGGATTAAGTCATCAAGGCAATATATCATAGTTATGTGAGTTGCTTGTATATGCTAACAACTCAATTAACATCTCTATCTGAATGAAGGTACTAGAGGTATGAAAATCTTCAGGCTGAACTAAGATCGCTATCAATCCCTTGTATCAACAGACAATTGCAAGCAGTCGAAATTCGCAATGGTTCTACTAAATACACTCCATGACTGGAAAGCAAATATACTTACATCACATGGCCAGTGGCCTTTTCTCCATTTCATACCTATCCTCATAGTCTCCCCAAATCCAGTATCCATTACTTGCTGTTGCATTGCATATATCTCCCTTATCGTACAACACAAATGGCCCAGGCAACAAGGGTCGCCAGACTTGGACACCACTCTTCCTAACATAATATTGATCGTTGTGACGCACCTCGTTCTGAAAGTCTTTGTATGCAGACTGCGAGATGGATAGCAAAAGAGGGTCACGAAGATGATCAGACTCAGGCTTGTCACACCGCCGTTTGAGGAACGCGTCTATCGATTGAAACATATCCAAGACATATGCAGGTCTTCTCTTGATGTTCGTCCTGGTATCTTCTATAATAGGAAGGTCGAGTCGTAGCCCGAGATGAAGGCTCAGGAGACTAGGAAAGTGTGTATCTAGGATGAGTAGATCCTTTTCTAATTGTTGTAGGTTTGGAAATGCTTTCCCTTGTTGTTCATAAGTTTCAAGCCAGAACACAACCTCAAGTGAGTATATCAGCGATAGACTTCGCGGAGGAATTAGTGTGCTCAAGTTGGTAAGAAGAGGCTTGCTTGATATATGAATAGTGTTTGTGCCGTAAAGGACCTCAGTTCCTTCGATGTATCTGGAATACAGGGCAGTTAGTAATGAGCCAATATGATTCATGAAGAGACTAGAACACTTACGCTTGGCGGCAGGTCAAGAGCCATCCCATCGCCCCAATCCAGCAAGAATCAGGCTTGTCAGTCCTTTTAGTCCATAGGGTACAAAAGGCCGCCCAACCCTCACAGCATCTATCATCAGCAGGCTTGATGTAACTATGGAAGTCCAGAGTAATCTTGAACCGAGGCGGTGGGAGGCGATGACACACACAGCTTCTCCACTGCCAGTACTTGGGCCGACTTCTGTCTAGACCCAAGTTCTCTTTTGTATATGGCCAGAGATGTCCAGCCTCTTGATCAAACCTGTGAGCAGGGTTTGTGGATCTGTAGCAAGATCTTTCTTCGTTTAGCGGTTCACGCAATGGATGGGTTAAAGCGAGATCCATGTGAACTGTGCGGTTGCCGAATGCATGAATTAGAATCTTTCGTCTGAGTTCGAGGGGCAATCTGAAGAAGGGGACCGTTTCTGATAATGTTGTAATTTGCTCTTGCGATGGTGATGGTGTCAAAGTGTATGGTCGCGGATTGGGAAGCCGTGGCATTTCAGGGTCTTGAGGGGTGCGTTGGCGACTGTGACGTTTGGAGCTCATCCATGCTTTGAAACGTCGATGCATGATGACGGGGAAAAGCGTTGGGTGGTGCGATTTTGGTCGTGAGATGCAGAGGGGGAGATAGCGGAGGGATCTGCGCTTTTCATATGCGGCTGGCGCGTCACTTGACTTGTTGGCCAAGAAGCGGCAGGGTTGGTCTCCCTACCACGGATGACACAGCAGCGCGGTCGGCGCGAATAAGACATAAATATTCATAAGCTAAGATATGTTTTTGAAAGGAACTGGAAATGTTCTCATTATTTACACTTCTACTTCGTAGTCTAACATTATACTATTACAGCGTATGTGGCAGTAGATGTCCGCGTCCCATTGAATTCGCAGACCTGCGAATAGCATCATGGTCTCTCCAGATCCAATATCCTTTGTCCGCAGTAGCATTCTGATTCTCATCACTTCCACTTGTGACTTTTGAACCGGGCAACAAGCAGCGCCAGATCCGACTGCACGATAGCCACATTCCAGGGTAACCACCCGTGCGAATGCATCGCTCTAAATCTCTCCAGGCAGATGTTGTGATGGACAATATGAATGGTTTACGGAGACAACCTTTTCGTCGCTTGACGAACTCGTCCAGTATCCTGAGCATTCCATCGAGATACGCCCGTTGCATAGTAGGTCGGCTGTTTACCATCTGGACTATGGGGAGATCTAGTCTGATACCTAGGTGAAGGATGGATAAGCTTGGGAACTGTGTGTCAAGAACGTGCAGTATCTTCTCTAACTGGTGTTGGTTTGGAGCTGCCCTGCCTTGATGTTCATGTGTACCGACAGACCAAACATCCTCGAGGCCTGGGATGATTGAAAGTCGTTGAGGAAGTAGAAGTGCCGATAAGTTATCAAGCAGAGCCTTGCTTCCAGGATGAACCGTATTTGTACCATAAAGCACCTCGACGCCCTCCACATAGCTGTAGGCAGACTAGTTAGCACGAGGGGAGTAGAGGTCTATATAAAAGAACACACGCTTGGCGGCAAGAAAGAAGTCATCCCATAACCCCCTTGAAACAGCATTTTGGATCTTTGAGAGTTTTGACCCATAGCTCGCAATGATGCGACTCGCCTTCGCAGCAAAAGTCGTCAGCAGGCTGTTCCCAACCTGGGACAGTCTCGTCCCGGCAATATTGGGGTGGTGGGAGGCGATGGCATACACAGCCCCTCCATTGCCAGTGCTTCGGCTGACTCCTATCTAGGCATAGGTTCCCAGATGTTTCCGGCCAGCAGTGGCCATAATTTGTTGTGAACCTATGCTCTGGATACCCTCTGTCGGATCTTTGTAGCCTCAACGGATATTTCAGGACGAGATCTATGTGAATTGTCCGATCATCAAACGCTTCGTCTAGTATTTTCCGCCTTAATTCGGGTGGTAATGTGAAGACAGGTGCAATCTGTGCTTGCGTTGCAATATCTTCTGTTGAAGGCGAGGGCGTCAATAAGCGCGATCGCGGATTTGGAAGTAAAGGTATTTCTGGCTCAGCGACAGAGCTTTTGCTTTTATTTAGATTCGATTCGATCTTTTTGATGCTAACCATGCTTTAAAATGATGATGCATGGTGGGGAATCTGCATAAGAAAAGTTGGCCAGTTGTTGCAGATCAGGACTTGGGACGAGAAGGTGGAGAGGACTGGGCTTTATAAAGAGATTGAAACCTCGTGCTGTGCTGACCAGGAGCTACACTGTGCCATTCTTGACGTGTCAACAGCATCGCCAATCTTGGCCGGGAAATATTGAGAGCTCGTCAACAGCTACACAAGCCAGTACATACTGTGGCGGGTTTCAACTCTGAATGTCAATGGACACGCACTCCTGTTAGAAGACTCTTACTATACGAAACAATCACAGTTGTAAAGGTTCTCAGGCAATACGAATTGACAGGTTTGGCGCAATCTCCATTAATCACATCTCTTCCATCAGCAGCAACTCTCCAAACCCATCGAAAGGAACTAACAATCGAACACCACTATGCCCCCACGTTCACGCAAACATAAGAATCAGGCTTCAGCCCGCTGCATGTACTGCCTAAAGCTGGATTCCAGGTAAGGAGCTTGTCCAATAATATACTGTTGGCTCGCCGAATGGACTTGCAGGTATCCTTCTTTGAAACAAGCCAGTATCTCTCGCAGCCAGTTGCTATGCCTGACTGGGTTGGCATAGCTGTTGCCGGTCGAGTAGGCGCTGTCACGTCTGCGGTTCTGGTCGTAGGAGTATCGGGGCCAGCGACACAGTACCAAGTGTTATCTTCAATATCACCACAGTCGTCTAGAACTGATGGATTCATCGCGATGAAACCCTTGATATTGAACGTCCCAAACATGTTCGCCAGTTGCTCACATGTTTCTCCACCAGTAGTGTAGTACCAGGCTTTGCAGTCCTTGGGGCTGCCCCTGGGAACATCACTGGGTGTTGTCGTGACAGTCGGTGGCATCGGAAGCTCACTCTTGACACCGATTCAGTACCAGTTGCCCTTCCAGAGGCCATCACAGTTCTTCTCAAGTCTCAAGTACTGGGTTGTACTTGAAGAATTGGTCTTTAGAGAGGTAGTTGTACGTCTTGAGGATATCGCGACAGCTCTCATCAGCTTCCGCTTGATGATAGTTGACGCAATCTGTGGGCATGAGCCCATGTGCTGGTGTTGGGGTGAAATTTGAGCCGGAAGGCGTAAGCTTTGTTGGTTTGTGAGACGTTGGTTCTGGGGGAGGAGTAAAAGGTGGCATGGATGTTTCCCACTCAAGGTTGCCAGTCGAGTTAGATTTGACTCCGACACAATACCGGTAGCCGACAAAGAGGCCTGAACAGTCTTGGTGGACTTCAGGGTTCCATTTAAAGCTCAATGTTCGAGGTCAGCAGGCGGGAAAGAATTTATGAAAGTTATCTGGAGACTTACAAGTCCTCTTTCTTCATGGAAGAGCTAGGCGTACTGAGAACATCTCGACAGCTTTGTCGACCGTGGACGAGATGCCACTTGTTGCAGTCTTTTGGCTGCCCAGATTGTGTAGCTTTGGGAGGCTAAGTGACATCTGTTGTAGGCGTGGTGATATTCCACGTTGAAACGGGATTGAGAACCGAGTATGTTGTATTGGCAGAGGTAGTGGCTATTGACTTGGAGATTATTCCCGACGCTGAAGTTATTGTTGAGGAGAGATCCTCAGTTGAGGGCATTTTTGTGGTTGAAGTTATGCTTTCCTTGGTTGACTGGGTATTTGCGACTGTTGCTCGTGGTAGTGGATTTGGCGGTAGTGTAGATAGCCGAGGCACCATCAACTCTGACGCAGTAGGCGTACTTCAACCAGAAGTTGGTCAAACAGTCTTTGGAGACCGTCGGGTTCCAAGCCAGGAACTCTTTTTTGGTGATGTAGTACCTCCTGGGAACAGTCTCGCAATCGTCGCCTTGCTTGACAGTATGCCAGGCAATGCAGTTGGATGGCTGTCCAGGATGAACTGGACCGCCCGGCTTACTGTCCTGAGTGAGCACAGCGGTGATCATGGCCCAGTAAAAGAACAAGGACAAAATGAGAGACTTCATGATAGCGTAGGTGGTTGCAAGAACAATATTGCGCAGTTAGAGACCAGACATGTATTCGTGAGTGAGATGTCTAAGATCATGAGAAACAGAGATTATACCACACTATCCAAGCCAGAAGGGTGTACAATCTCACAAGGCCGTTTCGCACGACTCATGAACTCCATTATTCCGACAGCAGATACATCACCAACAGGATGTTGGTAGCTCACATCATGAAACGAGGGTGTCATTGCGACTGCGCCTCGAAATTGCAAGTGCCATGTAAAATAACGCATTGCACGTTCATCCTAATATGCTGCCTGCATGTGCCCCGCCGAGTTGTTTGTTGGTTGAGGTCTAAGAAGAATAAACTCAGTAATCTCCATCTTCATGTGCTTATGGAGCCAGGAGTTCCATGTCTGATCATAAAAACCGGGTACCGAAGATCAGTGGAGAAGCTTAACGGTACCCTTACGTTGACACGACCTTCACCGGCCATTATCAGATGATCAACCCGAGATCACTCGTGAGACAATTCAACTTCAAAGGTGAATTAAGTTTGGTTATGTATTATATCTTTTATGTAACTAATAATACAATTTTGTGTGTATGGAAGATCTTGAATCAATGTTCACTAGTTAGCTAACAGAAAGTAGAGCGACACTATGTAGATCTTCGTGATGTTGCTTTTTAAACGATAGAATAACAGAATGTAACAAGATCTGAACGCCAAATTTACACAGGCATTTATGAGATAAAACTATGAAATAAAACAGGTCTACGTAGCAGACTACTGGACAAGCGATCACGTACGCCGAGAGTGTGAATCGAAACAGTATACAACCTCCATAATAATGTAAACATTTAAGACTATCAATACTGATGAACACGCGTGGGAATCCCATTTTCAGGCATGAAATTCCCCAACTCTGGATAATCTTACAATTCATCCTTGATCTTACCCAGGCTTCCAGTTCCAAAACAGGTAACATCCCTCTGAGGTGGGCTAACTCGGGCCTTCTTTCTCTTGATCCCCTTCCCAAGAGCCTCAATGAGGGTTCCATCGTCCAGATCAATCGCCTATACCATGGTCCTATTATCGCAAAATTAGTCAATGATCTAGTGTGGACATACGTTCAAGACTTACCCTCTAAGGCACCGCTCATTGGCATAGTCAAGCTTCATCTTGAGAGTCCTTGCATCGTCCCATGAGACCCACTGATTCGAGTCCTAAGTAACAATCTGGACGGCAGTTTCTTTGTCGAGCTTCATCTTGCCTCCGTTCTTAACGATCTTATTGATCTCGCTCGCGGATAGAACACCCTTGGTCCCAGTGCATTCACCGCCTTTAGCACCTGAGCTAAACTCACAGCCAGAGTCAAGGCAATTGGAGCTCTTCACAGTAAAACCTGCTTCGTGTCAGCCTGGATCGTTCTCTCGTTGCTTCGCCACTGACTTCGACCATAGAAACCCAGTCCCATAACTACTCGCTCAGGATTGATGTTGTTTCTCCACAGAAGCTCCAGAACTTGCTGGATCTCGGTGAGGTTGATATGCGCATGTGCGTAGGGGCCTAGGGACTCGATGTTCTCATCCCAAACACCATCTGCAGTTCTGTTAGTGTAATCTATAGTCTATAAAAATAAATTAAACTTACGGATATCGTATTTCATGATATTAAACCAGTCAAGGTACTTCTCCATGTTGACGATGTCAAATCCCTTGAGGCACCAATAAGAAGCGGGCTACCATTAAAATGTTAACAAATTCCCATATTTGTTTGAGAGAACAACGTACCAAATTCAAGGTCAGACCATATTTGCGACCGGAGGCATTTAGTCGCTTCCTCAGGCGAGCCAAAAGGTTGACGTAGTTCTCAAAGTCCTCTTCAACACCACCTCGATCTTCCGCGGCCGGGCTATCGAAGACATTAGCGGGAGAGACTAAGACGAGTGAATGCAGGGTCCGTACTATTCCCGGTCGAGGTCAACACCATCAAAGTCATACTGCTGCAGAAACGTAATGAGCGAGTCAAAAAATGCGTCCTACCTCTTCTCCGATTTTGCCCAGTCGTAGAACACAGTTCGATACTTTCCGGGATCGTTCATGGCCCATCCTCCAATGGCAATCCAGACCTCGAGATCATTCTGCTGCTCCTTCAGTGCGGAGACCCTCCCGTAGTGAGAAGCTGTTCCTGCATCCATTGGATCAAGTCGATATGTGTCAGGGTTGACAAGTGCAAAAGCAAAGTCGATATGCGTGTAATATCCGAAGGGAATGTCTTCAGGCTCCATGTTACCGCAAGGCCTCTGGTAGTTCCAGCCCTCATAATATCCGATGGTTCGCTTATCTGATGAGTGCTTGGCTGTGTCGCACTTGGGTGAAGCCACCGTCCTGCCTTTACAATAGCTGGCTAAGGTACCGCAGAAACCGTAGTCGCTACAGCAGACATTGAGTGGGCAGGTAGTAAAATTGGAGTATTTGAGACTCCAACCACCTTGATCGCATTCTGACTTGTAGCTACACTCAGAGGTGCAGTCTTTGCCACAGAACTTTGGACCAGTGCCGCAGATGCCGACCCCTTCCTTGTTTCTGAACTACTGTTAGCAGTCTCAAATGTATTTTGAGGTTGATGCCACCTACAGAGGGCCGCAGCAACCCAGCTTGCAGCCTTTTGTTTTGGTGCATTTCCCATCCGAATCGTCTGTATCTGGCTTCACCATCATGCGCATAGGTTGCACTGTTCCATCGCTTTTATACTGGTTCAAGATCATCTCGCGCTGACGACCAAGGACTTGAGCTTGGCCTGTAAAGGTATTGAGATCCAAGCCCTTGGCCACTGAAGTAAAGAGAAGCCAAAAGGCCATGAACCGATGTGAAAAAGACATTTTGGTGTATAACTAGAGAGTCATGAAATTGAAATAAAAACCTTCGAAAATGTGAGAGATGTATGTACTCGAATAAACTGAGGCGGAAATCCTCAAGACCCCTATATTCTTCCTAACATTCCTTGCTCTCTTTTATAATTAAGTATTAGTTATTAGTTCTAATAATACCCTTAATACTAATACTAGTCTTTAGTTTAGTTATTATTTTAATTTACCTTTAATTATCCTGCCTATTAACTTAGTTTTATAATATATTAACTTATACTTTAGTATAGTTATTATAAAGCTAGGTAGGTATTTAAAAGTTAAAATGCCTATCTAATAATATATAAAGTAAAGCAAAAGGCATAAAAGTAAAATAATAAAATAAGATATTTATTTTTAATATAATATAATATAAGGTATTATATAATATATTAAAAAATATAATAAATTTAATATTAAGTCTTAGTAGATTATATTACTATTACCTTAAACCTTAAGATCTAATTAAATAAGTGGCCTTAATCTATAAGTATAAAAAAGCTATTTTTCCTGTCCTTGGCATGCTAAATGCCCTCTCCACCATCACCCTCTCAAGGCAATCACCACCAAGGCTCTAAAATACTTAATTATAAATACTTTAATTATATATAAAGGTTATTATTATTTAAATTCTAAGACTTTAAATATATATAAATATACCTTACAAGACTAACTTATAAAGTAAATTCTAAATTATTTTAATTAAATACCAAAATGTACATATGGAACCCAATGCGGTAAACATATCTCTTCGTCGTCGTCGTCGTATGAAACAATATCTCTGGGCACTTTATCAACATCCAAATCCTTATTATCTCCCCCCTGGGCGCCTGTTGCCACCTCCAGAGACCTCCCATTACTGTAGGATGACCCTTTACTTGCAGTATTGGTTTGTGCATTAGACAAACGCTGTCGAAGTTCTCTAGCAGCTTTGTGTAATCCCAGACATACCGATTTGTCTGTCATCCCACTATCTCTTATCTCTTCATAAGTAATCCTTGCCATATCCACGCACAATCTATCATTGACTTCCCACAAGGTACCAATAACGTGGCGAAATCCTGCCAACTGGAAGGCACTAATTAAGTGTATGCTTTCATCGAAGAAGCGCTCATTATGAACTCGGCCCGTCCCACAGGCTGACAGGTAAGCGAGGAATGGAGAACTTTTGCGGAGATTCTGCTCAAGAAGGTTCGCCACCATGAGCTTTCCGTCTTCCAAGATCAAATTGCTTTTCGAAGGATCATGGTTGTCGGTTTGTCCATGTCCCGCGAAATGGAATATCTCGCACTGTAGCATTTGCGACATGACGTCGTTGACGCGCCGTCCTACTTCAAGAGCGCTAATTGCCATAGACTTGTAAATGCCCAACAACATTTTCAACTCTTTGGATGCAAAAGGCAAGGGAGAGCACTCGGGAGTGCTGTCCATGGCCACCACAAGTGCACTTGAAGAAGAGGATATGACAAGAGGGCGTTGGCGGGCGTGGATGATGGCTTTTACTGACGAGCCATAAGACGACATAACCCTATCAAGCACTGTCTCGAAGGAACTTCCGCCATGACGCCCGGCTGCATGGAGAGGGAATCGGGTCAGAAGACCCGTGGGGATCCACCAAACATGAGGCCAGTTGTCGTCGGCTGGAGGCTCTGTAATCCCTAAAGCACTCAGAATCGGTTCAGCAATCCCATCCCACAGCCACGCTAGGGCGTGTGAACTTCCTAGGTCACCACTCTTTGCCCTGGATTGCATCCTAGAGTAGTCTAACTGTGACAGGGCTACGGTCCTGACTTGTTCCTGCTCAATAAGGAGCGCGTCACTGCGGTATTTGCTTGTGTTAATTACAATAATGGGACCGCATTCCGCTGCATTCCGCATCTCTACTTCGCTCGGGGGTAGTAAGAACCGCTCGAAACCTGGTTTTTGTCGAATAGTTATCAGCAACCTGTTGATCTCTCTGTTGGCCTGATAACAATTGTCCGGCGCAGTGATCGGAGAAGACTTTGCTTCATTATCGCTTTTGGTTGTAGTTCGATTTTCGAGTTCATCTTGAAGGTGCGCGAAGTCTGTCGCCAGGGCAGGATGCTTCTGTCGCAAGTCCTCAACATCAGCTCGCATCTCAATAGATGTGGCAAGCACACCACGGCCTTGCTCGAGGAAATCAAGCGCGCGCAACGGCCCTTTTCCTGCTTCCATAGCCACTGCAGCTGCATCGGAGGCGAAGCCAGCAATTTGGCTAAGCACGTACTGCTTATCCGAATTTTCAAGTGATTGTGGAGACAACAGTGGTACGAGTTTCATCGAAACTCCTGCGATCTCATACGCTTGATGCCAATCAGGCTTGACAGCTAAGTAATGTACACAGAGTATACCGGCACGAATACGACTGAGTACTGGCGACGAAACTTGAGTCAGTGCCTGATGGAAGCAGGTAATAGACTCTTCGAGATTCTCTTCGGATGTCGTTCTACAATAACGCGTACCAAGCAGAACTCCTAAATTAGTCAAACGCCCTGCTCGATCAAGATGGCTCTTTGGCTTCGCTTCCACAGCTTTTCTCGCATGACAAATGGCTTCATCAAGTTCTGTCATTACTTCTGTTTGCAAGAAGCTGTCGCGAAGCCAAATGCAAAGATTATTCCGCCATCCCGCTTGACTTGGATTGTCTTGGGCAGTATATTCAATAGCCATTCGCCCAATTCGGATGGCCTCTTCAAGGTCGCTTGTCTGATTTGTCTTAGAGAATTTATGACTCAAACGTATTCCAAGATTATTCAGGTACGCCGGCTGATCCGGGTGGTTGTCTGGAGTCACTTTAATAACTTCCCGCTCAATCTGGATGGCCTTTTCAAGGTCGTTCATGTGTCCTGTTCTGGAGTGTCGCCGTCCAAATGAGTCCGCAAGGTTATCTAGTCTTCTTACTCGATTAGGATGTTGCGATGGTGTCGTGTCAACTGCCTCTTGTCCCAGTTCGATTGATTCCTCGAGATCGCTAAGAGATTGTGTTCTTAAATATCTGTATTTAAGATGCTGAGCAAGGTTGTTCAAGCATGCAGAGCGTCTAGAATGGTTTAGCGGAGTCGCTTCCAGGGCTTGTCGATGGTATCGAATGGCATCTTCTAAATCGTCCATTCCTCCTGTGTGAAAATACCTCTTTCCAAGAAGTATTCCTAGATTGCCTATGCGCCCCGATCGTTCTGGGTGGTCTGATGGGGTCTTTTGCACGGCTTGTTGCCCATGGCAGATGGCTTCTTTAAGGATGTCCATCGTACCTGTTCTTGAGTATCGAAGTCCAAGGCGTAGGCTTAGATTATTGAGAAAGGCTGCTTGATCTGGATGATCTTCTGGAGTCGCCACTAATGTTTGACGTCCAATTTCGATGGAATCGTCAAGATCTGCTGCTTCTCCAGTCCTGGAATACCTATCACTGAGTAGGCCTCCTAGAGTATTTAACCGTCCTGCATAGTCAGGGTGGCTGGGTAGAGTCGCGCCAACCGCTCTTCGTCCGATCTCAATGGCTTGTTCCAGGTCGTCTATTGTCCCCGTGCTAGAAAATCTTTCGCCTAATAGAACTCCAAGATCATTTAACCACGCTGCTCGGTTGGGATGGTCTTCTGTGGTTATTTTTACTGCTTGTTCCGCGTGTTCAATAGCTTCTCTGAGATATTCCGCATTATTCGTTCTTAAATATTCATCTCCAAGTCTATTTGCAAGATGATTCAGGTATGCTGCTTGTCGTCGATCATTTGCTGAGGTATTTTCGATGGCCTTTCGTCCAAGTTGAATTGACTCCCCCAGATCTTCCACTGCCCCATATCTGGTGTACCGAAAGCCAATGCGGACTGCGAGGTTATTCAACCATTCTGCTAGATTCGGGTGTCCTTGAGGAATATCCTTGATAACCTCCCGTCCAAACTGGATGGACTCTTCAAGATCATCTATTTGACCTGTTCTGCCATACCTATGGCTCAGGCGTATTCCAAGGTTGTTCAAGCACACTCGTCGTTCAGGTTGGTCCATGCGGCATGCCTTGACAGCTTCTCGTCCTGTCTTTATCGCTTCCTCTAGATCAGTCATAGCTCCTGTTAATGAATATCGATTACCCAGTCGAGAAGTGAGGTTACATAACAGTGCTACTTGCAGCGTGTGATGTCCATGATTTGCGTCTATACCTTGCTGTATGATCTGAATAGCTTCATCTAGATCATTTCGCATTCCGGTCGTTCCGTATTTTTCTCCGAGCAGTTCTCCAAGGTTATTAAGGTATGTGGATCGTCGTGGATGGTCTGAAGGAATCACATTAACGATATGCCGTTCAATCTGGATAGCTTCTGCCAGGTCCTCCATTCTGCCTGTTTGCGAAAACCTATAACTAAGGCGGATTGCGAGATTGTTTTGTAGTTCTGTTAGATTTGGATGTTCCTGTGGAGTTGTTCGTATCACATCTCGCCCGATGGCGATGGATTTCTCGAGATCATCTATTGCGCCTGACTGCAGGAATCTGTCGATCAACTTGTTTCCAATGGAATTCAAATTCGCTTGTCTACCCGAATCGGGCAAGTCTCTGCTGACAGGTTGCTCTGCGGCCTGGATAGGCATTTCATGGTCTTCCATCATTGCGATGACGAATATTTATCGCTCAACACAAAAAGGAGAGAGGGAAAAAGAGGGAAAGAGCTTAACCCAATCTTCTTTCCAGGTTTGATTTACTTGCTGACGCTGTCAAAACTGGCTGTGTTGACCGTAGCCCACTCTAGTGACTGCACATCAAGGCATTAATACTAGTTATAGTTAGTGTATAGCGAAAGCTGGCTGTTGTACCCCGCTGAATCATGCATCTCAGCCTTGAAATTTCGAATTGGAATTTCCAAAGAGCACAAACACGTGTCAGCCACTTATTGATCCGTCCGCGCCAATAATTCAGCTGGCCACTCACACAATGAGTCAGCGAACTTGTTATGGCGAAAGGTACAAAGCCAGCATCTTTTAGTCGCTTCTACCAAAAATGTACTAATCCGAAAGTTTTCGGCCTTTAGCATTGGACTCGTTGCACCTGGTCTAACGTCCGTCACCCAAAGACTGGCCACCCCCACAGACCGGCCACCTCACTTTTAACCCAGCCACCCAATTTATATATACTTTAAACAGTCACAACTCTACCAATTTAATTCCAATTAATTTCAAACTAACGCCAATCAATTCAGAATGCCTTCTTTTACTGAAAAA